CTATTTGGTTGCTACTTGTGTTTGTGATATTTATATTCTCTAAGAGACTTACTGCTACTCTTACTAAATAGTTGCTGCCTGTTAGATTACCTAACTTTATGTTCTTTAGTAGCCAGAGCTATACTTCATTTGTGTTTATTTGTTCTAATTGGGTTTTGTTGTAGAGCCATTTGAGCTGATATTCCTCTTTTGTTTTGAAGCTCTTGTGTGATTATTGTTCTCTTTGTTTGTGCTCAGAAAGTATTACTTGAGGGAAGTTTTAACCAGATTGAGATTAATCTTGTATCTAATATATTTTTTAAATTAGAAGCTACTAGGCCTCATTGTTCTAATTCTAATTGAAAGGTAGAGAACTTTGGTAGGATTCTTGAGTTATTTTTGATCTAATTTGTGGTTAGCTTGTTAATCTCATTAAGTTGTTTTCTTGTTAGAGGAAGGATATATGCTAGATACCAAAATTTGATAATATTAGTGATTTGGCTAGTAGGATTTTTCCTTTGAAAGATAAATTGTGATGTGAAAGATCTTCTATCTTTTTCAGTTAGGTCTTGCCAGAGATTTTTTTTTAAATTGCCTTTCAAGTCTAATTTATAGCCTAGAATGATAATAGTATTTTCTGTATTTTTGTTTAAGATTTTGAAGGATTTACTTTTTTTAAAGTTACAACATGTACGTTTTTAGTGATTGGTGCTAGAATAGATTTTGTTTTGTTAATTTTAGAGTTTGATGCTTATTCAAAAGTATCTAGGATATTTTCAAGTTTGTTTTATCTGAGGTTAAGCTGATACCTATTGTTATATTGTCTGCATATACTGAAACTTTAAATAAGGTGTTTTTTTTTATATATATATATATATATGCAGAATGCGTCTTTTTATTGAGTAAATTAAAAATTATACAAAATTATATATTAAAGTTTAGAAATTTTGCTATGCTATCTTTATCCATACTAGATTTTTTAAGTAACAAAGACTTTTGTAGAGTTTTAAGTATTCTACATAGTTTAGATTTAGCAAGGTCTGAGATTGCACTTGCAGGGATCTTATGATCACCCTATTTTGCTGTAGTATACCAGCACCAGATTTCATAGATGATATTAATATGAATCCATAAAGCAGCTTTCTGTTTAAAAAAGTAAGTGATATTGGTTGCAGTAAAGATTTCATTAAGGGAGAAGGGTTAAGAGTCAGTTTCAGAACATTGTAGCCTGTAGTCCAGAACATCTGGCTAATTTTGCAACTAAGAGCAAAGTGTTCTGGAGTCTTGGCAATTGGAGCAGGATTCATTTTGGTCTTGTGAAATATGTTTTAGATGATAACCTAGTGGAAGAGCTTTGTAGACAAGTTGCCAGAAGATGCCTATTTTTTTGTTTAGTATATATTTTGATTTAATCTAAGAAAAGAGATAATTGTTATTATGAGAGAGCTCTACAGGATTAGAGGTTTCTCTAAGAGGATATAGCTGTAGCAAAATTTCAGTTGCTTTTTTAACTGTAAATTCTGCTTTTGATACTGTATTCATTTTGAGATATTCTAAGACCCAAGGCCAATTGTCTGTAGAGTTAACTTTGCCTTGAAGTCTTTTCCATGCCCTAAGGTAGGGTTTCCATCTCTCAGGCTATCCTTTAGATCTAGCAAAATTCTGGTTAAGTACAAAATGAGTTGAGATATCTTTTGCAGCATGAATATTACTTAAGATTAGGTTTCTCCCTATTCTTGCCTACAGATAGTCGCTTGTGAGAAGTTTAATCCAAATAGATGTTAATCTAGCATCAATAATATTTTTAAGAATTGGTACTAAAAGTCCTCCTTGGTTCAAAATAAGCTGAAAGGTCAAGTAGCAAGGAAGAAACTTAGATTTGTTCTTGATCCAGTTCATTATGATTTTGTTGATTTCCTCAAGCTGTTTTCTGCTAGGTGGAAGTAAATAAGCAGCATACAATATTTTAGAGATTAGAAATGATTTTGTGATTAGAATTTTGCTTTTAAGTGCCAAATTTCTAGTTGATAGATTGTTAATGTGGTCCTTAATCAATTTGGTTATCTTTGACCATAGATCTTTTTTTGGAGCACCTTTGATGTCTACTTTATAGCCTAGAATTGAAAGTATATCTGTATTTTGGGCAAGAATTTTGAATCTGTTTTGGTTACAAAGCTCAATTCTATGAGCATTGTCTGTGAGAGAAACCAAAATAGATTTTGATTTGTTGACTTTGAAGTTAGAAGCAGATTTATATTTGCTGAGAATATTGTTGAGAGATTCCCAATCTGAAGGTGAGCTGATTCTAATCATTAAGTCGTCTGCATAAGCTACCACTTTGAAAGATGAGTTTGATACTCTGATGCTATTAAGGTTTGTCTGTAGAGATTGAAGAAGAGGGTTTATAGCCAGGAATAATAGAAGAGAGAAAGAAGGTCACCCTGTCTAACTCCTCCCTCTACTCTGAAAGGCTTGGAGAGGTGTCCTGTATCCATAATATAAGCTTGTTGTAGACTAAAGAGAGAGTCAATTATCTTGCTAAACTTGAGATCGAAGTTCATTTTGTTTAGGACAATTTTCATAAATTGGTGGCTGACTCTGTCAAAGGCCTTTTGCTGATCAAGAAAGAGTAACTAGTTTTGTTTAGTTTGGTCAGGTTGGTTTCTTAGAGTTGTAAGGATGTTCAAAGCTGTGTTAGTAATAGATCTGCCAGTAACAAAAACTTGTTGACAAGGAGAAATTATGTCACTGCAGACAGAATTTAGTCTATTAGCAAGAATTTTCATGAAAATCTTAGCATCACTATTAACAAGTGAAATAGGTTTTCAGTTGCTAATATTCTTTAGGTTATTTGATTTCTTAGGAATAAGAGTAATTATGTTTTTGCTTCATGAAAGAGGTATTTGTCCTGTGATTAAAATGTTGTTGAAAAGCTTAGAGAGTAAAGGAAGTAGAAGGTTTTTTAGAGATTTGTAAAATTCATAGGTAAGCCTATCTGGTCCTGGAGATTTGTTGTTTAGGAGGTTATCTATAGTATTACTGATTTTCTCTTCAGTGATAGGTTTAACTAGGGTAGTATTCTGATCTTGTGAGATGAGAGGAGCATTTCTGAGTAGCTCTTCTGCTACTTAGAGATCAATTGGTTCAGCTTTGTAAAGAGATTTGTAGAAGTTTTTGACATATTCCAGAGTATCTGGTTGAGAGTTGGAGGTAGGGTTATTTGGATTTCTGACTTTGGTGCTACATGAAGAGAAGTGTCTAATTTTGTATCAAGAAAAAAAGAATTTGGTCGATTTTTCTCCTTCAATCCATTTGGCATTTGATCTGGTTTGCTATTTCTCAGAGAGGAGTTGGAGCTCCTTTTGAATTTGGTCTTTAATTTCTTCTGATGAAGTTTGGAGGTTTTTAAACCTGAGGTCAGATGCTATCCTATTGTTTAATTTAGATAGTCTATTCTGCAAGATTTGGATTTTTTTTTCTGAGAGCTTTTTAGACTTAGCTGACTGAATTATTGATTGTATTATGTATTTGTGAAAATCCTACTTGCTAATATCATTGCAGCTTTGAAGAATTTTTGTGATTTCATTTCTGACTTCAAAGTCAAGTAATTTCTTTGGGTCAAGTTTCCAAATTGTAGCTTGAGTTGGTGTAGACTGAACCTGAATTGTACATTCTATGAGAAGGTGATCTGAGTTGCCAAAATGTGTTAGAGTTTTTCTTTCTAAGTAGTTAAAGTTTGCATTGATAAAGATGTAGTCTAGCCAAGTTGCCATTCATTGGTTACTCTATGTGTTTTGGTAAAAAGTAATAAATGGCTCATTTTCAAAGTTGTTAGCTGAATCAGTAAATTCAGTTATTAAGTTTTGTAGCAAAGCTTTGGAAGGATTATTCTGAGCTAGTGCTTGGCTTATTCTATCTTTTTGAGAATTCAGGTTAACATTGAAGTCTTCTGCAAGTATATTTATGAAGCCTTCGTCAATTTGAAGTGACCAGTTTGAGAAGAATATTTGTCTGTCCCTCAGGTTTGGAGGGGTATAGACATTTGTGAGTGAGAGGTTTAGATTGTTAACTGATATTTTGGCATAAATTACTCAGTTTTCTAGAATTGATTTCATTTCTTTGATCTTAATATGTTTTTTTCCAGCTAGTATTGCTGTTTTAGAAGTCCAGAAAGAGTTAAAGTCCTATTGTTGAGCTAAGAAGTTTCTAGTATGATCGACGCACACTCTCTCCTGAACACATAAGTTCTGGGATAGAGTAAATAACTTTTATCAAAATACCTACTAACAACAGAAAAGAAAAGACTAAAGAATTTATCGAGACAAGGGCTTCTGCCCTTGCTCCAAGGAAAAGACGCTTCAAAGAATATCTAGTAACAAAAAATATTAAA